GAGACTGGAGGTCATTTCACCTCTCTGTGCATCTATTTATTTTTCTGGCCTGCTTCCTAAAGAGTATTTTACATTGCAGGCTTGTTTTGTGCTTTTGTCTGAATATTTGTATGTGAGGAGGGAATGCAAACTCCAAATCCTTCAAGTGTTCTTGCTTAAATCCCTTATGCTTATACCTGCTTTGAACGTATAGCTAGCCGCTTGGGCTATGCTTCCAAATACGGATTTCTCTTGGAGGTGTGTTCTGACCCACCTACTTTGCATGCAGATATATTTAGCAAAGTTTTGCCGTAATAGTCCTAAAGCGCTGTCCCAGAGCTGTCATCTGCTCTTCTGCCTACCTCCTTCCCACTTACCTTCCATGCGTCAAAAGCCACCTGCCAGAGTTCTCTTTCTGTGGTCAGGGCTATCTGCCACAGGCGCAGCTCCTTTATGATGGCAGGTGGAGTGCAGAGGTTAAACATCCTTGTCCTTCTTGTGTGCTAGTGGCTGGGTAGCACAGATTACCTAGTGTACATGGGGGTCAGGGCAACCCCAAGCACAACTACAGGCTGGGTGGAAAATGAATTGAGAGCAGCTGTGAGGAGGAGAACTTTGGGATTTTGGTTGATGAGAAGCTCACCACGACCAAACAATGGGCACTTGCAGCCCAGAAACCAGCCATGTCCTGGGCTGCATCACCAGCAGCATGAGCAGCAGGTCAAGGGAAGGGATCTCCCCCTCTGCTGCACTCTGGTGAGACCCCCCCCCTGCAATCCCACATCAAGCTCTGGGGGCAATGACAAGGAGGATGTGGAGCTATTGGAACAAGTCTCTCCAGAGGAGACCAAGAGGACGCTCCAAGGGCTGGAGCAGTCTGCTATGGAGACAGGCTGAGAGAGCTGGGCTTGTTCACCCTGGAGAAGAGAAGGCTCCACGGAGAACTTAAAACAGCTTCCAGTGCCTAAAAGGGCTGGCAAGAAATCTGAGGAGGAGCTTTTGACAAGGGCCTGTAGGGACAGGACAAGGGGGAATGGCTTTAACCTGTCAGAGGGGAGATTTAGATGAGATCTTAGGCAGAAGTTCTTCCCTGTGAGGGTCGTGATGCCCTGGCACAGGTTGCCCAGAGAAGCTGTGGCTGCCCCATCCCTGGCAGTGTTCAAGGCCAGGTTGGACAGGGCTTGGAGCAACCTGGTCTAGTGGAAGGTGTCCCTTCCCGTGGCAGGGGATTGGAACTGGATGAGCTTTAAAGTGCCTTCCAACCATTCTGTGATCCTGTGATGATTCTAAATTTGGGTTAATTCCTCTGTGTCTGTGGCAAAGATCATGAGTTCTGCGAGAAGCTCCCAAAGTTATGAATGAGACCAGCAGAACTGGAGACTTTGTAAGTGAAGCCTCCAAGTAGGGGGAATTTTGTGTTTTTCTTAAAGCAGAATGCACGGGTACATACTTCTTGACCCCAGTCCTTGCTCATGCAAAGCAAAGTGCTGTTCAGCCTGGTTAGGTTGAGGGCAGCACAAGAGGTTCTTACATCTGTATCACAATGCAAGAGCAGACCATCTGGGCATTAAGTATGTTTTAAAACCACAGAAAATGGCTCTTTTTTTTTGGCCTGGACCCAGCTTATGGGAAAGTATCAGTAGAATACTTGTTGAGTATGTATCTGCCCTGTATCTGCTATTTATGCCAGGAGGAAATTGCTAGGTTATTGAGATACTTAAGTTATGACAAGATTATGGAAGACACTGCATCTAATGGTCTGGCTTTTCTTTAGCAAGCCAGATTCTGCCTCTCTCCTTCAGTCTTCCTGTTAGATGTCATCAAAGATGGATTCCAAGTCCAAAAAAAATGCCAAACAAAAAGTTCAAGGAAACCTGCACCAAGTGAATCATGCCTACTAAATTTAAACCACTTATTATGGGGAGGAAAAAAAAAAAAAAGAAAACTTGGATTACAGGTTTAGCAAGCATGAACACATATTCCAGCATATATTGCTGTATTTGTAATTGCCAAACTACTGATTTCTTTTAACTCTGCTGTTAGCACTGTTAAGCACTGTTCCAGACAGTCACTCCTATAAATCCCTGTTGATATATTAAGCAGGAGAAAGCTTTTGCAACAAAAATACTTAGCTGGCAAGTCATCTCCATTTGGGAAGTGCTGTCTAGGCTACAGGGACAGGTAGAAAAAGTAATTGCTTGCTGTTACTTGCTTGCTGGTTTGGGTTGGGGGGACCTTAAAATTCACCCAGTTCCAAGCCCCCTGCTGTGGGCCGGGGCACCTTTAACTAGACCAGGTTACTCAAAGACCCATCCAACCTGGCCTTGAACACTGCCAGGGATGGGGCATCCACTTGCTGAGCCTCTAGTTGATGTTTGCTTGAATGTTATTGCCGCTTTTTTATTCATTTATTCATTTGGACAAATGTGTAAAAGTGTATGAGGTTTCTGTACAGGGTACACTTCTAGTGTAAGGGTTATATTTTACTGATCACTTAGTCTCCTTCATATGCTGTTCAGGCAATAAGTAGTGACAGGAGAACCACCTCAGATCATCAAACAAATGTCTTTTTCATGGACAGATAATATTCTTTTTCAAGTGTGCATTTCCAAATAATGAAGTGCTTCAGACCCTGAAATTATGACAGCACATCGCTAAATTCCACCATATATATATATATATATGTTTATTTTCATAACATCAGTAGAACCAGAACCTTATCATCACTGCCAGTCTTCTGACCAAAGTCTTCTCTGTCTCTTCTGAACTAGTCAGTGGGTAGAAATAAGATGGAATGTCTTGAGAATAAAATTGTCAGAGTACAACTTTACCTTGGACAAAAATGATTGTCCTCTTTCACTCGCATCTGCTGTACCATGTACCTCTGCAGGGGTGAAAAACCCCCACAGGCTTCCTGGCCAAGTATGAGAAAAAGAGAACTTGGATCACAGCATTTGCTTGATGTGGATAATACATTTAGAGGTGGTCCTAATGTAAGTCTGGGTCATCAGAGAGGAAGAAGAGGGGAAGGTGAAAAAGGAAGGTAGATCTGCAGATCAGTATTTTAAGCACAGCCAGTTGAGAAGGGCATGGGGATGGAGAGGGGCAAGGAGACTTGTTTGTTCTGCTGCTGAAGTGAGAACACATCTCCACATCCCAGCCCTGCTCCAGCATAACTGGTGGACTGCAGATTCCCAGATAAAAACTAGTTGCATTCCGAAGTGAACAACAGATGAGCGCTCTATGATTGGTCATGAACCTGCCTTCAGTTGTGAGGCAGAGGGCAGGCATTTGTGAGACTGCTGTGCTTGTAGTCTCTCCTTAGTGGCATGATTTTATGCAGACTTGTTTGGGCGTGGAAAAGAGCTGCATGCTTATTTTATTACAAGTAACTGAAAGCTCACAGAGCTTTTCAGAACATTATTTAATGTTTTGTAAAGTTCCTAACAAGTTTATTTGTTGTACATCATGTTATCAAGTTACTGTTTGGGAAAAGGAGATGATAATCTTAAATCCAAAATCTATTTTAAAAAAGATAACACATAAATTTTATGCAGTGTATTTACTGTTGCTGAGTGATTCTTAATACTTTGTGCCGTACAGCAAGAAGAACAGAAGGCATTACTTCTCTTCCATGCTTGTTCCTGGTACTAGTAATAGCAGATACACTTATGGTTTCTTTTCTGAAGTCAGCAGCTGGGTGTATGTTCTTCAACTTGCTTCAGGTGCATGTGCTTACATCTTGCATTAGACATCATCATATTCACATAGGATTGTGCAGTAGCAGTTTTTTGTGCCTGCCAAACATTTGAGGTACTCCTGTCCTGCAGTTAATCTCTATCAAATAGTCTGATGCCAGGTACGATTTCTGAAATTCTGCTAAAGAAGAATTGGTGACATCTGTGAAGATGCAGGGGGCTTCCTGCAGGAAAGTCCTAGATAAAGGGTGGTCTCTGCTGGTCCAGTCAGATGAATGCTCCATTTTCTTGGGCCTCTTGTACATTTTGCAGGGCCTCCCATTTCCATGCTCCTGAACTTGCCTATCACCATCCATAACCTACATGGCAATGGAGTGTTATTCTTCATAGTAGACATTTATATTCTCTGGGGCAAGCAAGGTGCAGGTCTCAGTGGAATTGACAGCCAAGGGAAGTCCTGTCTTTTAAAGACTGTATTTTAAGTCCAGCATGTAAACCTGCACAGCTTCTAGATCAAAACCCAAGCTCCGTAAGCACTGCAGTCTCTATTAGTTGTCCTCTAGACATTGGGAAAACTAGTATGTTTTCTAATCTTCGTGTGTCATGTCAGTAGTAGGCTGAGATTAGTTTATTGAAGTTTTATGTTCTGGGTGGATGTTCTGAAGGTACTGCTGGCCATCTTGGACCCGCAGAATACTGTGCTGTTGCTGGTTTTCCTTCACTTGAATACCTATTGCTGCATGAGGTATGCAGGGCAACTTTGTCAGGTTCTCCAAAGTGAGCAAGCTCCTCACTGGGACCTGGAAGCCATGATAGCAGTAGTTTCTTTCTTCCTAGTTTGCGCTGCTAGCCTTTATATGCTTGATCTGCATGCTCTTGCACCCAAATTTCAGTCAAACAGGGTAATTCTTCCTCTGTGCCAAAACTGATACCCTGTAGCTAGACTTGAGAGATGGCAAACAGTGGGGCACTCCAGGAGGTTAAGTTCTACCAGAGCGTACCGCATAGTAGTTCATTTGAGCAGCCTCAGCTGGTGTGAAATTTAACTGCAGCATCCTTAGGGTCATAATGACCAGGTGTGGACCGCACGTGAGCCTGCCTGAATAGACTAAGTAAGCAGAGCTGCTGACATCTAACAGTGTTCTGCAGTGGAGGTATACTTGTGGCATGCAGACATTAAATTTGGCAATCTAGAATCTCATTTCAGTTGGCATAGCCAGTGCTACTATGTCACCATATTCCTAGCAGAAAATTGTCAAGGTAATTAGTGTTAATTGGGATCTTTTCTGAATGAGCCTCTCATTTATTGTATGTTTGGCCCAGGCTTGGACTCAGGGGCTTGGCAGTCTTTCATCTGCAGTTCTGTCCAGATGAACGTGTATGCCTCACAGTGTACGTATCCAGAGTTCTGGGTGTAATCTCTACTGTTGGTATGTATTTTAAATCTTCATTCTACTTTCGGGTACATCTTGCCTGTTGTAGCTCTGTAGGAGTTAGCTGGCATTGGCAAGAGCAGAGAGATGAAGAAGTCCTTTTGTCTTCTGACATGCAGTTGCTTATTTTGTGACAGCTTCTGCTCTGTTTGCAGCGCAGCGTCAAACATTTTTGTACTGAACCTGTCAGCTGAGAGTCACCATCTCCTTAAAATCTCTCTTGTGTGAATGACCATCACTCTTTCTCATCCATTTCAGTGCTCAAACTGATCTAAATGTATTAAGATAACCTATTTGATCATTAAGTAAGTGGTCTTTGTAGCAGCTGTTAGCTACAAGTTTGTGTGCTATGAGTTCATTGCTGTCAGTCTTTCGCCATCGAGATTCACTTGCAATTTTAGCTGGAAAGCTAATTCAAATCTGGCCTCTGGTTCCACGCAGGTTTTTAGAAATGATTGGAGGGACAACATACTGAAATTAAGGAGATACAACAGCTTAGGTGCTGGTTGCATTAAGGCTGGAAGCTTATTTGTAAGCATTAATGGAAATACAGCCTGGGGTTCTCCACTGAAATGTGTCTGCAGATACCTTGATGACAGTGTTTCATTTTCCAGCTGCCACTAAGGACAAAGCGATACTTAACAGTGTTCTTTTACTGGGACTGTGTTGCCTCTTGTGTATCTCTTGGACTTCTAGAGTAACTAGGGGTCCTTTCTGATGAAATACAGATGATCCTGCCTTTTTAGAAGTCTTGTGTGAGTTTGGGAAACTTGATGATTTTGTGACCTCAGTTTTTCTGTAGATAGGATCTGTCTGCTTCAAAATGGAGCCTGGGCTCTGGCTTGCACTGTAGGTAATGCCACCTAATTAGGGAAGATTGTTTTGTGTGGGATTGGAGAGGGAAAAGAGAGAAACAATTTAAACAGCAACTTTTGGCTAATTGTTCTCCAGGGCATGTTGTGGAAGCAATAATTTACCTGCTTGCTCTAAGTTTACCAACTGTGGCTTTATTGTAAGATTGGGGGTGTGTTTTCTAAAGGGGAAAAGGGTTCTTTTGGTGGTTTCTCCTCAGTTAAAGAGTTCTGAGGAAGAAGAGGATCCAGTCCCTTCAAAAAACAATTTGCTGCAGGCTTGGCATGCTGCTATTATATTCCCTCACTGTAATCCCAAAATATGGCTTTTTCCTGTGTTGTACTGTCAAGGCTTTGGCAAACTAACACACTATAATGAGACTGAAAACAGCATTGATTGGGTTTAACTTCTGAGCAGTTTCTTCAAGAATTTTTGTGTTCGTAAAAAGTATGCTGTCTTGCCCCTTTGATTCACTAGTGCAGGTTGCCCAGAGAAGTGTTGCAGTGTCAAACCTTATTGATACTCAACAGCCGTCTGGACATGGTCCTGGGCAACTGGCTCTGATTGAGCAGGGGGATTGGGCTAAAGGACCTCAAGAGATTCTCTTCAACCAGCCGTTCTGTGATTCCGCGATTAGAAGGTCACAACCTGTCCCTTAAGATCTCTGTCATAGCAATTCATGCCTTGTTACCTTGCAACCGAGCCAACGTGCTCCTTGCAAACATGGATTCAAGGTTACACAGAAGCTGCAGCAAATGCAGTGACTGTGTTGCTTGTTTAGGCACGAGTTTTGACAAGAGCTTGTTGTGCACCTTCTTGAGGGTCTGCACAAAACTGTGCTCTAAGTACAGATCAATGTGCTAACTTAAAGTAATGATATTTAAATAACTTGGAGCCTGGATACTTAGGAAACAACTTTTCTCTTTGCGTTGCAGTACAAAGGCTGCATAGAACTGGATGCTGTGTTCCGCCAAGCCACAGCAAGCCACAGCATGTACTCGGGAGGTGGCCGTTCTTAGAGAAGGTTCTTAACCTTGCTTTCCAGGGCACAAGTGTAACACATCCTCAAATCATGTGGCAGAGCTTTTTTATTTTTCCTCTAATAGGACTATTTTGGGAAAATGGGCTAGAGAGTCCTAGATTAGATTTAGTATTTTGGACACTAGTCCTACTTTTGTGCATGCATGCAGATGAATTTATCTGTAAGTTTTGATACAAATGCAGTAGCTTGAGTTTTAAAAGCACTGGGTAAGCAACAGCCTTGCTGAACATCTCCCAAGAATAAAGAACTCCAAGCTGGCAAAGGAGTGCTTAACAGAAGCTGCTGTCTGGAATCTGAAGTCAGACACATTCAAAGTAGGTATCAAGTACAAATTTATAATGGAGAGGGTGATTAAGTACTGGAATGAACTAGAATGGACAGATCCTTGGTGTCTTGCTGGTTTTGAGACGAGGTGTCCCCTGGACATAAGTTAAGCCAGGCTAATAGGTTTGTTTTAGTTCATGCTGGCCTCAGTTTGGAGAAGGTGAACCAGATGAAATGTAACAGCTTGTGTTTATAGACACATACACACACACAAGAGTCCAGCCAGAAGACTTGATGATTCCTATAGACCTTCATTTGTACATTAAGTAAAAGACTTAAATTTGGGTTTGGTTTTTGTTACTTCTAGGAGTGCATTGGTTTGTAATTATGCATGGGGTTGTGAATCTGACTTTATTGTGAATTCAGCAGTGGTAGTACATCATTTTCAGGGCTGGTTTTCTTCACTAAGGCACCAGGTTTATCAGCAAGCTTAAACTTGATTCTTCTGCATTTCAGTAGCTGGTACGGTAATAGTCCTGTTTTAATAGTGGGGCCTGTGTCCTCAGGCAGATACCATGTTCAGCCACTGATAACCATCCCGTGTGGCTTTAAGCCAACAATTTAGCCCCTCTGTTCATGTTTTATTTGTGATGTTTTTTTTCCCCAAGGATAAAGGCTTTTAATTTCTTATTTGTTAAGCCCTTTATAAGAACTTACCAAGGAAGATATTAGTGAAATACAAAGTGATGGCATTATTTTTTTACTGTGTGACTCACTCAGAAATTAAGAGGGAAAATTAATTTGTCTTCCGAATAAGTGATATCAGCTTCATCTTTACCAAGTGACTTCCTCCTTGCTTCTGCAGGGCATTGTGGATCAGGGTGAACTATGCTTCAAAACAATTAACTGCATACAGTGAGAAATGAAGAAAACTGAAGTGGATCTCAAGAATGTATTAAAAATCGGAACTAAAATGAGAATAATTTCATGTCAAGCGAAACAAATGCAGAGTTGGTACTCCAGTGCTTCACACTTCCACTTGTCCTTGGCACCGAGAAAATGAGATTTTTAATATCGGAAAAACAGATTGCCATGAAGACTTATCCATTGTAAATTTAAGCTGCCTTTATAGCAACTTAAGCTGGGGACAAGATTGTTCGTTACATCTGATTCTACAACTGTGGCGATGATTTCCAAATTAATTTTGGATTTTTTTATTGTCTGTCCCAGTAATAGGAAGGGGAGCTGGTAGTGTTGTCCCAGTAATAGGAAGGGGAGCTGGTAGTGTTGTCCCAGTAATAGGAAGGGGAGCTGGTAGTGTTGTCCCAGTAATAGGAAGGGGAGCTGGTAGTGTTTTCCCAGTGTTAGCAGGTAATTTATTTAATGAATAATGCGGTAGGGCAAAGGTTGGTGAGTGCTTATTTGCGTATCAGCTACAGATAGTGGTGATACCTGCCTTTGCTGCTGTGATCAAACCTGGTTTTCTGCTGAGAGGAGGCTGAGGGAACAGGGAATACAGATTCATGATTTCAGAGTCATGATTTGTTGGTGACGGAAGTTATGTTGGTTTGGGTTGATTTTTATCTTTTTTTTTTTTTTGATTAAAAATTAGAGATGAGGGAGTTTCCTGTTTCCCACCTGGTAGGCCCTTAAATTACAAAAAAAATGTAAGCAACCGTTGCATGTGTATGGGGGCAGGGAAGGTATTTCTGTGCTACTGAACTTTAGACCAGCATTGAGTCAAAAACTATTTGCAACTTTTTTCAATAGCAGCTGGTCTGTTCTGGCATCAGGCTTCAGAAGCACTAGCTGTCCTTTTTTTCTGTGCAACTGCGTTTGCTTTCACCAGTCCAGCCACCAAAGCAGACAGCAGGATTCCCTGACCTGCCTTACTGCTTGGCTCTGTCTGTGATGGTTTGGGATTGTGTTCAGACTGTACCATTACTGCCTCACCTTTAACATGGCAAAAATGGTGAATTTCTCCTGTATTCTCAGGAACTCTGACCTGCTTATTTCTGCCGAAATGCTATCATCCTCTGTCTGTGCTCAAAGATCTGGAGTCTCTTGGAAAAGCTCCTTCTTCCTCCTATGTTCTCATTCCAGATTTGGTCTAGATCCTAATGGCTCTTCATTTATAACATCCGAGGCCCGTACTATATTTCTTCTCTTCCATTAGTATCCCTAATATCATTGTCCTGCCTTTGTCATCTCGCACCTGAGTTACTGCAACCTTTTCTTTGGCTCTGTCTCCTCTCCTTGTGCTCCAGTTTTAATACTGTGTTTCATGATGATGGAAAATGATCTTTTCTTTCCTTTGTGGGTTTTGTTCTTTGCTTCTTCCACATTCCTCATGCTGGAAGCAAATCTTTCTCTGAGGAATCCAGTTTTCTATCATTAGCCTCTCTGACCTTCAGAAAGTTTGTATATATTTAAGACTAATTTGTTCCTTTTTGGAAAACAAAACAGCTCTCTGTATTAACCTTAAAATTTGGCAATAAGTCAACAGCATGATCTCATATTTTTTGTGACTGCTTCAGGGAATATGTTTTAAATGCAGTTAAGAGATTTAGCAGAGTAGTGTTTGGTATAGAACTATCTTATAAAGCTTTGGCGTGGCTGACCGTGAGACACCTGAGTATTTGTCTTTTCCATCCATCAGTACTTCGGTGCCACAGTTTCTCTCCTGTACCACAGTACATGACCTGGGACAGTATGCTGGGACCACTCATCTTGTCTGTGACCTTGCTCTTGGCAACCTCCTTTCCTTGAGAGGAAAAAGACAACTTGAGATGTAGATGTGGGCCAAATGAATTGTTTGAGAAATGGCAGCAGCCATCTCAGCAGCCTTCCCCCCCCAAGACACCCACTGCTTTCCTTGGCCACATCTGGGTGGTAGCAGTCCTATGGGGGCAGCCTTAATTCCCCTGGGTGAGCTGGTGCCTGAGGCTGACTGCTATTACTTCTGGAGGAGCTCATTCAGCTCAGCCTTTTGTCCTAAAAGTTCCAAAGTTTTCCTTCATCAAGGAAAAAAAAAAATCCACCTAAATGATGGTACAGTCTGTATGCCCAGTGGGTTCTGCCTGGAATAGGTGCAGTTCTTCCCCAAAAGCCTCTAGTGGCATGATAGTGGAAGAGTCATACCACAATGTCTGGGCCACTCTTAACTGCTGAGAAGAGCCAAGATGTGTCCATCCACCAGGCTTGGTTGCTAATATTACAGACGTCTCTTTATAGATCAGAGTGAATTATCCAATGCAAATCCCTGTGCTACTCTACCCATTTTCTATTCCAAGTCACGTACACCCGTAGCTCAAAGCGTAAATATTCTCTCTGGTTCTTTCTGTATCTTCCTGGATATAATATCCTGTCTTTCTCTTGGTTAATAGTTTGACTTTTGAAGCACTTCAGTCCTTGTTAGTTTGTGGAGAAAGACATCAGCAGTGATAGCTAAAGAAAATTCTATTAGGTCATTCCTTTTCAGAACATAGTACCTGTCTTCTAAGTTCTTTGCGGATGTTAGCCAAATAATCCTTTTAATAGCTTTTGTGAGTTAAAAGGGTAGGTAACTGTCATAAGGCTAAATGATTGCATAGATTAATTTACTTGTGGCCAAAAGAAATCAATTGTAATTTTAATTTTTGTCTCAGGACTGATTATGCTGCCAGCCATCAACTTTCTCCTTAGGAATCTACCATTGAAGTATCTATCTGGGATTATATGTGGGCCTGGATTAGTCACAGATTATCCAGAGTAATGCGCTTGAATATATCCATTTTTTAACCTGTGGCTGTGCACAAGCTCAGAATACTCAGCTGGTTGGCCTTGTTTAGATCTATGAAGTATCCAGGAATAACTTGAGCCATTATAATCCATAGGATGTTTGTATGTAAAAGATTATTTGCCATACTTTAAAGACCATGGGTCCATTGCAGGCCATGTGAAAGCTCCCACTGAAAGTAAATTAAAGAAAGAGGCTGAGGCTTTAACAGGCAATTAAGGAAAAAAAAAAGGAATAAATAGAAAGATGATATAAGAAAACTATGTGGTTCTAGAGAGCATTTTTCTTAACCATGGCTATATTTAGTGATTGGTATACATTCTGCTGCCTTTTAGCAGAGGGATGCATTGGATGACTGAGAAGGATCCTGAAGGCTTTGGTAGTTGTTTTTGGTTTTGTTTTCTGAAACAGGAGGTTATTTGCCATTCCTCTAAGACAGTTGTGTAATTGTAAGTGAATGACAAGAACTCAGAATTTATTTGTCTTTCATAGAAATCTCTCAGCGTTCTCATATCTTTTCATTGTGTCTTACAGAATGGTAAATAACACTGAAGACCCTCAAGAGGCTTTGTGACGTCCCATCCCCATGTAAAGTATGCTCAGAACTTTTCCAGTAGTGTAAGTACAAGCTAAAAAAAAACCCACAAAAATGAAGAGTTCCTTGGTAGTTTGGGCTTTCTTTCTTTCTTGCCCCCCTACCCCCATTAATTTGTCTAAAAAGAGCAGTGTTTATCAACAGCTGGCTATATTGGAGGGTTCCACTGGTTTGGTATTTGTTAGATATTTGAACCAGGGAACAGGAGCATTTAATCTCTCTCTTGGTCTGGCTGATGTGTTTTTTCTACTTTTCTGTCACTGAAAGAAGGGGAACATCATGCAGTTCTTAGAAATTTAGCCTTGATCATAGGAAAGTTACTGTTAAAACAGAGGTCTCCATACATCTCCTGAACGTACTAGAGGCATACCAGAGCTGTGCAAGAGAGCTCAGCACTAGACTTGGTGAAATGCAATTAGTACACCATTAACGCAGTGTTATATAGCAAAGGCAGAAAACCTGGGGCACCTAACCTAGCACTAGAATTGGATGTGTTGGTCCAAGTAATTACTGCTGTATCTGGAATCCAAGTATGAACTGGAGTTGTCCAAATCTCATCTTTGAAGTTCAGCCTATTAATTTGTTCTTCCAAATTACTTCTGTCAGAGATCTTCAATGCAATTGGTATCTATGCTGTTTCTTCAATAAGCAAGCAAATGAATTCAAATTTGAAGCTTGTCAGGCTTAAAGGAAAGGATTGACCTGTACTGTGCTGTACATCCATCTCTCATCGGCTAGTCCTATGTCACTGTTCCCCGTTCATGTTTTAGAGATATGACCGAATTCTTGTCCACTGGCAATCAGATTCTTTAGATACTTTGACCTCTTGACTTCTGATTGTACCTTCTGTCAGACTGAGTTGGAAAGAGAAATTCTGTCTACAGAGCAGATAGCGAGAAACTGGACAACTGTGAATGAAGACAGATTTTCCCAGATGGATTATTACAAGGATGATGATTATTCATCCAGCACATGGACAGTCACAGTACAAGTGGCAGTGTACTCACAGACTTATGTAGAGGCACTCACAGTGAAAAGTAGTGACTGCCATGGGTTTTGCGTTGGAAACTAAATAACCAGTGTATTTCAGAAAGCTTTCTTGATACAACCATTAATGAGTTATTTTCTACTTCTGGTGGCTTAGTCTTCTATTCAAAACTAGCGGTTTTCTACTTTGTTGCCAGCCTGCTGAGCCACCTCCTCTGCTTTCTTTTAGCTGGAAATATGTTGGATTTCAGTATTAAAATCACCACTTGAAATTGTAAAGATCTAGTTCACAGCAGGAAAGAAGTCTGGAGGTAAGGCTGCATTGCCCTGTGCATCTTTATTACAGTGGTAATTCAGAGATTGCAGTGTTCTTAGAGCTCCCCTGTACTTTGTGTGAGCAGAAGGACGGCGTGTCAGCTACTACTGTGAATCAGACTTTTAAGATAAATTTCCAAACTGTGAGTTATTTAGTTTTAATTTCCTGTGTTTTAGCTAGATTTCAGTCATGTTCTGCCCCTGTACATTTTCTGCCCTGTTAATCAGCTTCCACCTTCCCATCCAAGAGGTAACAGCTTTTTCCATTTATTCCAGTATATGTGCAGTTAATACAGTCATTGAGAATGCAATAGAAGTGTAGGTGGATGATTTTTTGACTGAATGAATGCGGGGGTAAACCTCTTTGGAAGGGATTAAAGAGTATTAAATCAGACTAAATGGGCCGAGATGACCCACTTAGGTATAAAGTTTCCAGATTAAACCACAGATATTGTTGAAAAAGGGTAAACAGGCATCGTGGGTTTGGAAGGGGAAAGAAGAAAACAGAGCCTTTAAAAAAAAAAGGAAAAAATAAAAGTAAGTTTTTACTTAAATATTGAATAAGATTAAACAGTCTTAAAACTACCATGGTTAGAGGGTAGTTTGTTTATTTCTACCAAGGGGAAGCATCCTCTGTCAGAACAGCAAAGTAGGCAGCTGGCTGCAGTTACCATTTCACCTGCTTAATTTTTATCCACAGTTGAATGAGAGTCGGTACTTGAGAGGAATTTGAAGCATGGTGTGAACACAGGACTCTTGATTTTGGTCTCACAAAAATTAGTCAGTTATCTAAAACTAAGTCTTCCTCTAGCCTGTGAAAGAAAATCTCTGTTGAGTTCTCCATAATTACTGACTCTTCACAGACTTAGGGCAGTGTTGATTAATTAATATGTGTTAATAGTGAGTGTTAATGTGGCCATCAGTATTTGTGTTGCATGTTTCAAACTATCTCTCAAAATACAATTTCTAATGGAACTAGACAGTTTCAACATAATCACTTAAAGTTTACCTGAGTTATCAGGCTTGTTTATGAATCTAATTGCCAGCAGTGACAGAGCTGCCTTGGAAGTGAGTAAAAGTCTGCTGAGTGGAAAGAAAATCAGTGTGAGTAATGCAGATGAAAAAGGACTAGATGGAAGCCTTATCGTTTATAGGAAAAACAACAGAAAAAAAGGAACAAGTATGTGAATGATACTGTTTGTCACCATATGCCAACTTCAGTGGAGTCACAGTGGCTTAGAAAGTCATTGCCTGGCTGAGCTGTGCTAACTTTTGTCCAGCTTCATTGAAATGTGACATGAAACTCGTTAGTTAAACTTGGGTGAAAGAGAACTCAGCTAAATTGCTCCTTTTGTCTTCAGTGACAAGGTATTGCGTAAATAGTTGGTGTTTTAACCTTCTTTAACTGAAATAGCATCTTGTCTGAGCCGTTATTTTACTCAAGATAAACCAGATGAATTAATTTGATTTCACAAGCAGCTAAGGCATTCTGGAAGGGACCATAAAGCGGTCTTGTGTCACATGCGCTTCTTACACCTGCTTATGCTTTTGGCCAAATTGGCTTGTCTTAATGTGTTGAGCTGGTAATAGCAATCATCAGAGCCTTCTATAAGCTCATCCAGCTTGCTAACCCTGGCAAATACTAGCTATGGGTGGGTTGGTGGTTTGATTGGCTGATTTTCCTCCTGGGTTAGTGAGCCGAACTGGTCAGTGGTGATTTTCACCAAGTCCTGGAGCTATGCAGATGGGCTGAAGAACAGGTCATAGCTTGGTTCACCATCTCACTTGCATCTTCAAGTGTCCTCCTCCTGCTCTGAGCAGGATTTGGACTTGCCCTAAGAATATAGGCTGGGTTTTCTCTGTGTCACGCAAGAGGAAATTTCCCTAGTTTGATCTGGGCTGCACAAAGGGATGTTTGTTGCTGTAAGCGCGTTAGTTAAGATGTGCGTTTCTTCTTGAAATGCTTTTAAATAAAATAGAACTTTTAATATGGAAGCAAACATAGCCAAAAACCCCATGTTTTTGCTATTATGGTATATGTTCTTCAAGGAGCTGCTGTTATCTATTTGGGTTTGGATTTTAGTTTTCTGAAGTAAAAATTTCTCTTTTAAGTAAGTATGTTAGTTGTTACTGCTGGTAATAGATCCTGAGGAGAAAGACTGCCTGAAATACTTCAGAATGTCTCTTTTCCTTTGCGTGTGGAAGAGGTGGGGGAAATCCTGGTGATGGCATTGCTTGAAACTTGTCCTACGCCTTGTCATATCTGATGCTATAGAAGGACCCTGTAGGATGGCTGTATGTGTGGTGAGAAAACCCTCGAAGTCTGGCCAGATGCTTGGTTTGCGTTCTTGCAGAATGCCTGTGTGACTTTGAACAAGTAATTTTGATTTGTCTGAAGGCCAGGCTTTTCCTGTGAGCTCTTGGTCTCAAAAATTAGCATATTTCCACTTCCATGCCTTATGGGGGTATTCTGTGGGAAGATTTGCTCAAGTATATAGATACTCCAGCTAGCTTCTCCTTATAGAGAATTCTGAGGTGCTGGGTTTTAATAAAGGAGTGATTAAATTCTGAAGTGAACTGAGGAGGCAGAAGAGTGCAGTATACCTACCCTGTAAACTTGACAGCTGAAAATGTGACTTGCCAGTCTGGTGTTTCAGTTTTATTGCTGCAACGACTGTGTTTTCCTCATATGGAATAACAACAGTATTTTGGTGTGTTGGTGAGATTTACTTAGCTGCATAACTCAAGTACACACAAGTCCTGCCCTGATTCTGTTACTTAGCTTATGTATCCGAAGTTTAGTCTTCGGCTCCCAGATCCAAGAGTTGCTCCTTTGCTCTTGGCACAGGTTTGGGCTTTAGGCCCTGGTTCAGCAGTCAGCTGCCACTACAGCTTTTTTCTCTCTGTTTGTTAGTCCTTCTGATCCTTAATTCTGCCCTTGAATCCAGCTTCAAAGTTTGAATTCCTGCTTCATTGCTGTAGAATTGCGACAATAGTAGGAAACTCAGATTTTAAAAGCAAGGAAGGTTAGGGTTAGACAGATAAGGTGTCAGTGTGAATCAGTCTGTGCCTTGAGTAGAATTCAGAATTATCTGGCTCCCAGCCCTGTGCTTAGTCAGAGGTCAGTCCCTTTTGTAAGACTTGGATTATGACAATAATTGTCATTTATATATACATATTTTTACCTTGTAAGATCAATATCAAGTTCTCTCTCTCTTTCCCAAAGATGTAAAGCAGATACTATAAAGCAGAGTAAGTTACTCACCCAAGTGGAATCAGCAGCAAAACTGCTAGGGTTTGCTTACTGCCAGTGTGCCAGCAGCCAGTAAAAATATTTTATCAGCAGTAAAGAATGTCAAAGATCTAGTGGAAGAAAAGTTTATGCGGAAGAGGAGAATTTGGGTTTGGGGCTCTTTAACTAGCTGAGAAATTTGAAGCCTCCTGAAGAAATGATATGTTGATATTCTCCTCTCAACTTGCCTTCTGTAATTTGTGTAGCGGTGAGTATTTGATTACGTTGGATTTATTTTCAGAAGTTTCAGGCTGCTCTTATTAATTGTCACCATTTTGATCGAAAGCGTATGGCAGTGTTCTGCATTCATAAGACACTGTTTTGCATTCATAAACAGAACTGGTGACGTTTAACCTCAGTAGATCAGCTTGTAGACTGATTTCACTGCTTGCTGCAGTATGAGGCTTTCGTTTCCCTTGGATGAGAGCA